GAAGAAAAAAAAAAGAAAAGAAACGAAAAAAACAGACGAACGAACTCATTATATTTAACAGACGACAATTCGAGTTAAATATAATCGTCGATGATATCACGGATAAATCCTTATCGTGAAACTTTGACGTCCTAGTAACGTCACAAAAAGCTTGATATACGCGGCCAAAGGATTATAATACATCAGGATCAGCGACAGGATTTTCTGATCAATTAGCAGTAGAAGCCAAACTAAGCGTCTGTCACGTCCGGTTAAAGTTTCCTGCTGCTGCTATTTTCAGGAGAGGAAGAGAGAAAGAGAGAGAATGGTTAAAGGGTGGTTGAGTGAAAAGGGGTGGAATGGCATTTCCTACGTCACCTACGATTTGTGGAAGTCGTGTGCCATCGACGTTACAAACGATCGTTCTCGACTTAACCTTTACCACGTTTTAATATCGCTTTAACTTGTTGAAATTTCAATTTAATTCGATTTATAATTCCTATTCTTGCTTGCTTTTTTTGTTTTGTTTTTAATTATTTTATTAATTCTGAAAGTATATGGCAAGTTGATAAAAGAGAAAGAGAGAGAGAGAGAGAGAGAGAGAGAGAGAGAGAGAAGAAGGAAAAAAAATAAATAAAAGAATATTTTCAAATGTATATATATTTACAGATTTACTCATACATTCATAGATATATTGTCGAATATAACTATAATATAATTGTCAGATCGCAGACTAGAATGACTATGCACGCTCGAACAAATTTAAGCTCTATCTCCGTCCGACGAACGAAATCGCAGTTGCGATTTGCTTCGAGAGGATTTGCCCGAGCGTGATTGGTCTGACGAACATCATAACCAAATTTGAATTGGACGTTTCAGCGCGATTCGCCATGACGTTCGGCCGTCGATTCATGCGATTATTAATTCACCATACCGATCATATTGTCTAAGGTGAGTGAGGCTCGACGTTGTGAATATGAATTCTTGGTTCGACGATTTAGATTTTGAAGCTCAAGATACGTCGATTATGTTTGAAATAATCTTATATCGTTTTTAACGATAAAATAAATCTAATAATATCTGAGATTATGAAATGGCATGGACGTCATTATAAAAACATTTCATGTCGTTTACTTTTTTTCATCAATTAAAATCAATAATCAAAGTAAAATAAATAAAAATTTTAATCGTTTGATATCAATTACCTTTAATAAGAAATATTCGTTTGATTTATTATTTAATCTAATTATCATATTAAATTTACTTAAGAATATTCATTCATTTCATCAGTCTCGAAGAACGTCGTGGAAAATTGACGAATTCGAAATCCATCGTAAAAGTTGAAAGAAACTGGTCCGTTTCTAAGATGATGCATCGAGATAAGAAAAGTAACGAGCCAGTCATCCGAACGTCGAAGTTACTCACCTGAGGTTTTCCTCTTGAACTATCCCACTTGGAAGGTTGATCTCCGATCTGTTTCAGGATCGCGAACAATGTAAAGTTTACGATCGTGCACCAGAACTGGAGAAAGGTTTGGATGGCTCTCGTGAGAGAATTCGCGAATCTCTTTCTCGAGAGCGAATGAAAAATTTTCTCGTTACGTTAACGGCAGTAAAATATTTTAACGCTCTGGACTAGAATCATGTTTGACGTTGTTACTAAGAAAGACAGACGGAGACCTGATAGAAAGAAAAAAAGCGAGAGAGAGAGAGAGAGAGAGAGAGAGAAAAGAAGAAGTGAAAGACATGAAAATCTCGATAAATCTGTTGATTTTCGAAGAATATACTTGGAAGTATGTAAAAGGAATAGAAATAAAGAAAGTAAAGAAAATAAACGAGGCAAAGTTTTTCTTATAACATCGTAAATTTTCAACTCTACGAAGAAATAAAAAAAAATAAAACTACCGTGTAACGTTCATTTCGATGGGAGTATTGTCTTTTTCCTCGTGAGTTTGCCTCCGTTACGAAGCAACGAGGTCATGTTCCATTTGGCGCAGGGCCCCAAGTATCCTACAAGTATTCGAGTATACTCTATTCTTTGATCGTGGATTTATTCGATGACATTATTTCCTATTACGATGTATCCGAAGTCTCATTTCCGTTACTCCACCGAAAAAAAATTATCTCAATGGTTTTGTTCTCTAATGCTTTTTAAAGAATACTTCAGAACACATTCTTTTTCTCTCTCTCTCTCTCTCTCTCTCTCTCTCTCTCTCTGTGTGTGTGTGTGTGTATGAGAGAGAGATAAAGAGAGAAAACTCTTTAAAAGAATATCAGTAAGGATTCGAATATACATATATATTGAATATATAAATATACATATATCAAATAAATGTTAAAAACTCTCCACGATGACACTGGAATACATTGTAATCCTACTATCGAAGGAGTAAGAAAAAAAGAGAAAGATATTTCGGGCTCGAAAATTTTTCCCAAATTCGTTCCAAATAAAATCCTCTGGCACGATTTCCCACTTGGAACGTGCTCCATATCGATTCGATTTGAAAACTCTATAAATATCTTCCACTATTGCCTATTCGTTCGGGAGAGTCGTCGACTAGTTATAATTCCAAAGCTAAAGTCCGGATCGGGATATCCTACTTTCCCGAGAGGGAGTATTTTTTAACGAAATATGCGTTCAAGTGGAATTATGAGAAAAAAAAAAAAAAAAAAAAAAAAAAAAAAAAAAAAAAAAAGAAAAATAAAAAGACCAAGGAAAAAAAAAACAAAGAAGACCAAAAAGAAAAAAGAAACGAACGAAGGGGGAAAAGAAAAAGGAAAGGAAAAAGGAAAAAGTATAAACGGAGGAAGAGAAATTCTTTGATATGTTGGACAGTTTAAAGGGAAAAAGAAAAGAATAAAAGTCGTGAGAATCTTGCATACGTTTCTGCATACGTCGCATTATTCTCGCTATCCCGATTTGCTTTAGGACGGTGGAAAATATTTGAAAATTTACGATGTGCTACCCTTCTCTAGAGTCGATGCAGTGACGGTAACGGAGTTTCACCCTCGTTCTTTCTATCTTCCTTTCTTTCTTTCTTTCTTCCTTTCTCTCTCTTTCTCTCTCTCCCTCTCTGCCTCTCTCTCTCTCTCTCTTTCTCTCTCTCTCTCTCTCTCTCTCTCTCTCTCTCTCTCTCTCTCTCTCTCTTGTTCGTTTAGCCGTTCCAAAACGATCCTCCTTTTTCTCCTTTCTCGACTTCCCTTGCTGACTCGACTAAAACAACTCCGCAATTACTCTCTGAGGATCGTTACAACCGAGGGAAACAGTGTCGGTACGGCTTGTTGAACGAACCAACGAATGAAGGTAGAAACGAGATCGAAGTCGCGACTACTCCCATGCGTTCATTCTCTCTTTCACAATCATATCACGAGAAAATCGAGAATTTGTTAATTCTACAATCGTCGTTTACCTTCTAATTGCATATATAGATATGTACATACTTACGTACTTAACTATTATCATTTCATATAATCGATAACAATACGAAAAATCTATCGAATATATACATAACATTCGTAATTGTAATATCAACCCGAAACGATATTTCTATTATTAATTATTTTCGATTAACATATAATATCATACATATTTATGAAATACATATACATATGTATCTATTATATATGAAGATATGGATGTATACGAAACGAGTCTAATTATTCCAAGCGCTTCGCTTTCAACGTTCGTCTCGTTTCGTTACGTCTAAAGCGCAATCGCAGTGATGGAAAAACGAAAATATAGTTGCATTCCATCCATGCAGATTTCGATATGCGCATCATATATTAATTGTTCTAAATACACCACGAACGCAACGTGTTTTTTTTTCTACTTCTCTCTCTCTCTCTCTCTCTCTCTCATATTTTATTTTTTGTTCCCTGATGTTCCGAAAGACGATAGACATCGTTACACGTTCGTTATTTGACGTTTGCATTCAAAAGCAGGATTCATACGAACGACGGGATGGATTTTCCCCACATTTCGTTCAGAGGCTCGCCGTTCAATTTCGAAGCTTGTCGTTCCCACGTGACGAGTGCTGTTAATAATAAAAATTCTCTCTCTTCCTCTCCTCCTCCCCCCTCTCTCTCTCTCTTTCACTCTCACTCACTCACTCATTCACTCACTCACTCACTCTCTCTTCTCTCCATCTGATTCTCCATTCGTCGTTTTTCATGTCGAATTTCGCGTCAGCGTAGATATATACGTTCGTTTCGTGCCCAATTTACGTAGGTATTCCTTCGAAATCGATAACGTGTAATGCATTTACGGGCAAATATTTATACAAATCTATGGATACATAATTTATAGTAACAATTCTCACAGACGTATTAAATATTTCGCAAGAAGATATTCGATCGTTATTTGTAATGCAACAAGAAGATCATTAGTAATTCTATGCATTTCGAATCGTTTTAAAGATCGTTTGATTTTCAATTAACACTTATCAACAATATTCGTTATTATTGAAGATTTTTATATTTAATTAAAAATTATATTTTATATTTTCCTTTCCAAAATAATATTACTTTGGGAAGGAATAAGAAGAAGAAGAAGAAGAAGAAGAAGAAGAAGAAGAAGAAGAAGAAGAAGAAGAAGAAGAAGAAGAAGAAGAAGAAGAAGAAGAAGAAGAAGAAGAAGAAGTAGAAGGAAAAGAATAGGATAAATGAGAAAGTCAAAGTAAACGTTTCTGTAACGTTACCAACGATGTCTCGCGTTAATTTGTCAATGATTAAACATAGCTAATGTCTATTTTAGATATTATACCATCCTAGTGAAACTTCACGAGGATCTTACAAGAGACATAATATCGTTGTTAAGACGTTCATGGATAAACGTTACGACCAGTTATGCCGGTAGGATGTTAAGTAAACTCTTCCTTAAGGACGACAGTAAGTCCATGGGAGATCAAAGTGAGAACGATCTTGAGAACGAGCTAGCGAACGAAGACATTACCGATGTTAGCTCACTCTCTCTCTCTCTCTCTCTTTCTACGAAAGAGAAGATTTTGCGAGAATCTTACACGA